TAAAAAGTTTATGACCGCCCATCTGTCATCCATGATTGGCAACCTCGGCTCCCCATTGATCGCCGGGTGGATGATGGACAAGACCGGGCCGTGGCCAGTCATGTGTTTGTCGCTCTTTGGTTTCGCAACCGTTGGCTTCGCCATCCGCCTCATCCCGGAGACACGACCGGCAGCCCGGTCTCCGAGAGATGTCTCTATGGATTGGCCTACCATCAACATTTTTCAGCGCTTATCTCACCACTTGAGGAAAGTCTCAAGTCTTTTAATGATGCCATCTCTGGTCATTCTTATATTGGCAATGCTTGCCTTATTCCCCATTACGCTGTCTATCTTTCAGTTTATGATCATCTTCGCCTCTAGGCGCTACCAGATACCAACGTCTCAAACGGGGTTTCTCTCATTCTTTTACGGCTTCAGTGTCCTCGTCGTCATCACCGCCGTCTTACCAAACTTTTCAAAGTTTCTCGTCTCACACCGGGCACCAAAGGTCCTGCGCTTTACTGACAGCAACAAGCGCGATCTCTTCCTCGCCCGGGCATCTTCCGCCATGTTCCTACTTGGCAGCCTATTTATGGCTGTTTCGCCGACTTTGAGCGCCTTTACCGGCGGGCTCGCGCTCTTGTCACTTGCTTCAGGTTGGGGCAGCTATGCGCGCAGTCTTTGTGCATTATACGTGGACAGCGCGCACAGGACGCAGCTCTATTCAATCATGTCGCTCGTAGAGACGGCCGGGATGATTTTTGCACAGCCTGTGCTTGCTGGTCTCTTCAGTTTGGGCATGGAACTTGGCGGCTTCTGGATCGGATTGCCATATTTAGGTTGTGCTTGCTTTTGCGTTGCTGCACTGGGACTGTTGCTCTTGGTGAGGCTTCCGGCGCTATGAGGCGGATAAAATCAGGTTTTGATACTTGATTGTTTTCTCTTCGACCCTGGTGACTTTTTCTTTAAAACATAAAAACTCTTTCATATACGGTATCTCATACAAACACTGCGGTTATGATGGCCTCATCCCCACAACGTGGATAATTATCCCCAAGCAAGAGGCATATAATCCCAAGCTATCTGATTCACAGAGCCATCTTTCCAGGGGCGATATATTCTCTATTAGACATTTAAAACTAGAGCCACTATTATGTATTACTGACATTGCAGATAACACTACTACAGTAAACTGAAGAGCACGGCCCACATAAATGGCTATCCTATCGTGACTTTGACAGAACGGTTCGTCTTCCTTATTGGCAACTACTAGACGAACTGCTGCAGGTTGTAGGCATGATCCCTGAAAACACGCCGGGTACAGACTGCAGGTGGCTAGACCTCACGGCTTCTAGGACAATGCATAATACAAGTTTAAGGAGCTAAGCATTACAAGATGTCAACGACTTAACTTAGCGGTTCAACAGTTAGCATATTCAACATCATTCGACCAAGGCGGATTGTCCATAGCTCTGTGCGGTGTAATCCGTTGGTCTCATTTGGTTAGTTTAATCCGAAAACCAGGACTACGTAGCTAACAAATATGAGATTGCCACCATTTACAGTGGGTAGAGTACAGTACTCCCATATCGCGGGTCCGCCGCTCAGAGCCGCCAGTGTCCAACGCAATCATTCTGGTCTGCGGTGTAGATTCTACCTGAAAGTAAGACATCTCGCCTAGTGATGCAACGAATACGTTAGTAATAGGTACCAAGTGGTGCTGTGAAACTGCAAAAAATGTGTCCAGAAACTTACCGCAGAGACTGTGGTTTTGATTCCTATGGAATCCCCTACCCGAGGACTTGCTTGGGATCAGCAGCGTCAATCTCATCCTGGTAGGCGTCGGGGTGCTTGTCTCCGTCAATGAACAACTTCAGGATGTAGTTGACGCTGTCCGAAATGTTCTCCTCGGTGACCTTATCAGCAGCCTTGTCGCGCTTGGAGGCCGTGTTCATGAGATTAGAGCGCTTCACGGTGATGCTGCCAATGGCGCGCTCAGAGACGGGCGAGCCGGCGACGGAAGCCGCGAGGGTGACTACAATGGCAAGAATGGCAGACTTCATTTTGATTATGAAAAGGGGTTGGTATTCAATTCAGGACTTGAGAAGAATATGTTACTGTGTTGTGTTGATCGTTGAGGCTGTGATGATGAGAGAAACTGTACTGATTGAAGTGTGGGAAGCCGCTATACTTATATTCAAACGGCAACATATAAGGCCAACCTGAAAGAAGCCATTCGTCTGCGTACTTCTGAGCCTTCGGGACTTTTCATCTTGGGAATGTGATGCGCCTCTTGCATGACTCCAGTCGACTTCACGCTCTAGACATCGCGGCTTCACATCATGCCTCCACTCCACTGCATTCAACAACATCGCACGACTCAAGCAATTCGTCTCGAACATGAACCTATCCGTTTGTTCTAAGGGTCTATAGGAATACGTTGTCAAAATTCACTAGCGGCTAACCTTACCCCAACAGTTCCACTGACTCATTCAATAGATGGGTACTTAGTAATTTATTAACTTCGGGCGCGCGCTTGGTCCGACTCATTCAATAGATGCATCATCAAAGCCAAATCAGGGAGTGTCCAAAGCGTCTCTTGGATGCGTATCCGCTCGTTAATGGGAATTGGTTCGCGTTGGCTGACTTCTCTTAGAAGGAAGCCCGGCCCCGACGTTATCTTCGCGAAACACCTCCTCACGCTACTTACACGATAGTTTCCGTCCGTATGCCCTCAACTTCCATTCGCAACATATCCTTGGCGACCCTACGACTTGTACCTTCTTTGTATCTCCGTCAAATACTGCTGCAACCATTATCGATCTTACTTTTGGTCTTTTCCTGATGAGGAATGTTGGCAAGCATCACAACCTAGCCTCAATAATGCCCTTTCCTAATTACCAACAACATAGGAAACAACAACTCCGCCAATTCCGCTTCACAGTACTAACCCTTCAACATGGTCCATTAACACGATGAAACGAGCTAGCGAAAAGACTTTGCTAGACTGATCCATATGCACGACGTTCTTCTGACGACGGAATCAGTAGATTCTCGAAGGGATTTCTTGACCTTCTTGGAACTCTCTCAGTATAGAGGAAGTTAAAGCATTTTGCCGCAACGAAATTGACCTCTGGAAAATTCAAGCTCTCGCATCCTCTGCCGCTCCGTGGGTTAGACTCTAATTACTTGAGTAAGGGAAGCATTCGTATTCACCCGAGCAGGCGATTTGCGGAAATGCGATCATATATCATTCAGAGACTCCTTTTTTCCGCTATCAATAGGCCACGCGTTAGGCACCCTGTCTCCTACTTGTCTAACCCTTCTTCATTCTGAATTCGCCCTCGTACTCAGCCCAATCACAATGCTGTCCGCAATGGAAGTCAAGAGCCCATCTTACAAGCCTCTCATGTCGGCCGACAGCCGTGACTCTGAATCTGTTGAAGACTTTGGCGACTGCCACGCCGGCGAGAAGAGTATTGCGCAGCGCTTCCGCTGGATAGAATGGAACCAAAGAGCTCCATCACGGATTACTGCTTTACTTGGGAGCTCCCTCATTCCCCTAAGTATACTGGTTCTCAGCATGGCTTTTGGTTTCGTATTTTCTTTCTTGCGAGCTCCGACTGATCAGGATTGTGCTCGTCAACTGTCTATGTGGTGTAAGTCTTGGCCTTCAACCCTCCTGGCGAAGCTGGGCAGTAAGACAAAACACAGAAGCGTTCTAACTCATACAGCTCCTGCACTTGAGGCCGTTGAATATGTCCAAATGGATTTCAATGACGCCTTTAACTCAACAAGCATTTACCGTGGGCTTCCAACTCCAGAGAGAGAGCAAGCCTGGTTTGACCTCACGTATAGTAAGCATGCTACTACGTCTCACCCACACACCAGCCTTCGCCAGCTGACCAAAAATCAGAGCATGCGGTCGAAATCCCGCCTGAAAGGCTTGCAGGTCTCAACCGATCTGAAGAAGATCACCTGAAGCATGTGCCTGAAGATGTAGGCGACGGTTATGTTGCACTGCTTGAGGTCTTCCATCAACTCCACTGCCTGGTAAGCCCACATGACCAGTTTCGCTCCCCAAATTCCGCCGAAATAGGTTTGCTGATACGCTCGCTCTCTGCGTAGAACATGATACGGGTGTATACCTGGTGGCAGGTGGGCAAGTATGACAAGATCCCAGTTGGGCTGTCGAACGACCCACTAAAGAACCGCATACATGTTGATCACTGCCTGGAAGCCCTGCGAATCTCACTCATGTGCTTCGCCGACGTCACCCCCCTCATGGTTCGCATAGGCGGACCGGCGGGTGCGCGTGCGGACTTTAACACGCACCACAAGTGTCGCAATTTTGATAAGATTTCAGACTGGATTGATGAAAACTGGACCGTCAGATAAAACTTGTACATTTGGTGCGCTTAAGGCTGTCATAACCCGAGTCTCAAGGGATGCAGTGCCCTTGTCATTTGTTACAATGCCTTAGGTTGAGGATGAGTCGAACGATGCGATATGAATGTTAGAGAGATGCATATTTAAGATAGTTGAATATAATCCATGTCTGTACCTATCTATCTGGTCACTCGAGTGAGCAGACTCTAATAAATATTTCAATTTAAGCCTTTAGCTTAAGAGGGCTTGCTGTTCATGTATCGTTACGTTTCGCCAAGTTCGCATCTAAGAAATACGCCGTCTTGAGCTTTTGAAACATCAACTTCGCGCTGAACTTCTCCATGAGACAGTACTGGGATAGGACATGCAACGATAATGCCATAGTGCAGTTCTTAGATTCGCATATATTGATAGTTAAAAATGTTGTTATTTTGTAGAATGGTTGCAGTCGGGTATTAAAATCATTTGGCAACTACGTTCTGGCCTCTTATTACGTCTGCCGAACAGCTTGAAACCTTTCCATTTTGTGGACTTCAATCTAACAACTGTAATAAATTCCCAGAAGATACCTCTCAACTCAGTGACAATCTGGTTTCAACAAGCCTCTTAGTCAATGCCCTGCGGTTCTTTTCTCACTGCTCTCTACCGATTGTCCATAGGTGTTTGAACCAGCTGCCCTCTTTCTGAACCAGGTCTTGTGGAATGCCCTGCTCAACCACCTTTCCAGAGTCGAGCACCACGACTCTGTCGAAGTTCATTACCATGTCGAGCCGGTGGCTTATCATCAATATAGAATAGCTTTTGAACTCGCTCCATAGAATCTGCTGCATTTGCTTCTCCGTCTCCACATCGACGCTGCTGCTGAATTCATCCAAGATAAGCAGCCCGCCAAAGTTGCTTTCGCGAAGAGTGTCAGATGTTGGCTGCAGTTCTATGTCATCTTTGTCAACTAGGGATCGAGCAGTATCCACATACTCAATCCCAGCACTTGCTAAGAATTCACGCATGCGCACGCGCTTCCGCAAGACCGCCCTCGCCAGACTGAAAAGCTGTTTCTGTCCAATACTAAGAGCGTCCGCGTTCATCGAGGCCCCGAGCCCGCCTTGTTCACTGACCAATCCCCAGAGCCGCACAGTTTCCAGCACCGCTTGGCACTCTTCATCGGTCGCAATTGCAAAGGGGTCGAGGTTTATTCTGAAAGACACGCCATCTGGAAAGAACACGGGGTCTTGGGGAACCGCAATCACACGTTGGCGTAAGGTGGCACGGTCGATTGTGTAGAGGGAGAGACCGTCAATGAAAATATCACCGAAACAGGATGGAAGAGGGTCCAGGAGGCGTAGAAGGAGTAGGACGAGTGATGATTTACCACTGTTCATGGTGTTAGTGAATAACCATAAATCATGTTTTGAGGTCAGTATTCACCTGCCAGTACGTCCGCAAACTGCCACCTTTTGACCCGGCTCAATGGTAATCGTGAGGTTCTGAAGAGCGAGGTTGGCGTAGTCTGAAGCTGTGTTCGATCTATTCTCATTCAAAGTTAAGTCGTGATGGTATCTCAAAGTCGGTCAGCAAATTCTGATAGAATCAACGTTATTTTGATCAGGCCTATACTTACCTGTAAGACGCAGATACTCCTTTGATTTCGACCAATGCCTTTTCCGGCCACGAAGCAGGTGGAAAAACAACCTCTCCTGCCAATTTCTCACGAGGGGTGTTTTCGGAAAACGATCTGAGCCTCACCACAGCACCAATAGAGGTCTCCAATAACGTATACTTCTCAACCAGGTTCGCCAGTGTTCTCCCAAACGACATGATGGAAACCATACTAGCGCCGGCAAAGCCTGCGTTGGAGCGCAGTTGTGTGGAAAGGGTCACCACAAGCACGGCTATAAGGGCGACCACAATGCCCAGGACAAATGACAACCAACGCTGCACCATACTTAAGAGGTATTCAGGCCTCTGTGAAGTGTCCACCAGCGAGCTGTTGAGACGAGTGGCTTCATCCGTCCAGCCAAAAGCACGAAAGGTGACCACACCTCTGATGGTGTCAATAAAATTGGTGCTGAGACAGATAAGCAAAGCGTCAAACCCCATGACCGATGGAGTTGAGACCTACTAGAGAGGAGCCTTTGCCTCCAAATCCAACAAACGCAGCTGACGAGAAGTACGCAGGTAGAACCTTTGAATACCATAGATGATTGCCGCAATGAAGGGATACGAGATCATCACAAAGGGAGACGAGCTCGCAATCACAGCAGCTGATCCCAGCCCGACCCATACTTGGAGCGACGTGTTGGTGAGGGCCTGCGGAAGCTCCCCGTCTATGAGAGTCATGTCTTGAGAAAATAGGTTCGTCAGTACCCCTGTATCTGTCACCGTAAAGTAACGCAGGGGCGCGGCAAAGACGGCTCGGAGGGTGTCCCTGTGCAAGTTCGCTCCAGAAAGCCTAATGATGACGACTAGGCCAAGAATCGCCTCCGCAATGAGAGAACCCAGTGCTAAGCACTGGAATAGAGCGTAAAGACCAACGTAGAACGATGTCGAATGTGCCGGGTTCGTTGAGACCACATCCTCGCCCCAAAACTTAAGCCAAATAGTCGGGCAGTTGTAAGTAAAGCCAAACATGATGCCGAAACCAGCGAATGCGAGCATCGGAATTGCTCCGATTTTCCGGCAGTAGAACCGAAACACCGAAGCATCGCCCATACTGCGTGCACCATCTTTGGTATCCCGTTGGTCCTCAGATGATGTGTGTCGGTCATGGGGTGTTGGAATGTCAATGTCTGCGATTGATGCTGATGTCGTTGATTTCTCGTTATCCAATCGATTGTTCGGACCAGTCGACCCTAGTAAATGATGGAAGGCGTCTTGCCCGCTGGCAATGACATGATCAAAGCTGCCCTTTTCCGCAACAGTGCCGTCAGCGGCCAGGGCGATGACATAGTCAGCTGTCTGGAGATGCTGCGAAAGGTTGGTACAGAGAACAGCGTTCGCAGTTCTTCTTTTGAGCATCCCACTGGGACCGAATACGCGGCGGAAGACGTGCTCCTGTGTATCTGCATCAAGAGCGCTTAAGACGTCATCGAAAATGAGGAGGTCGCAGTGACTATACAGAGCTCTCGCAATAGAAATTCTCTGTTTCTGTCCTCCACTCAGACTAATTCCATTGCTGCCGATCACGGTTAGGTCGCCCTGGGGAAGAAGACGGAAGTCCTGGGAAAGCATAGTGGCCTCAATGGCGGCTGCGTATCTCGACTCATCCACGGCCGTGAAGAAACCAACTATGTTGTCCCTGATAGATGCGTTCCATAGAAATGGAACTTGTTCGCAGTATCCAACAGTGCGGCAGTTGATATTCATGGCAGTGTGGCCTTCCGCAAAGGGGATTTCGCCGAGTAACGCTTTGCAGAACATGGATTTGCCAGAAGCAACTGGGCCGATCACCATGGTCAGACCGGGAGGAATCACAACGTTGATGTTTTTCAGGACGAAAGACTCCTCAGTCCAGCCAAAACTTGCGTTGATTATTTTAGCAACTGGCGAGGCTGCGCTGTGCGAACCCAGAACCTTAGGATCAACGAAAACCTCGTGGTCTCGAAAATCGTGCCGCGATTCTTCCTGCAGAAAAGACTGCACCCTTTGTAGGCATGTAAAAGCCGCAATCAACTGAGGAACCAGCTGGAAGAGGGACGAAAGCGGTTCTGATAGCAGGAGTAAATACGAAATGGAGGTGAAGATGGTCGTGACGTCGAGATCCCGAGCTGTGAAAGCCAAGGTGAAAACAGGAGCCAGCAGGACAGGTGTGAATCCGATGCCCACCGAGATGACGAGGAACCACCGGAATCTGCTTCCGACCTTGAGTTCGTCCAGCCGTAGCGAATTGATGATGTCTTCAACAGGAACCTCCAATCCTGATATTTTCAGGGACTTCATGTTACCAAAGACGTTCGCCGTATGACTGATGCGCTTTTGGATTTTCTCCATCCAAGCCATTTGCCGTGGCCCGATATACCGCATGAGAATCGAAGAGCTGGCAATACATAGCATAATGAGAACGATGGGTACGGCGAACGAGGCGCCGAGTTTCTTTTCGAGCAGCCAACAGGCCAGACCGGCTTGTATCGGATTGGCCCAAAACTCGTGGAATTCCATAAGCCCCATGCGGATTCGCTCAATGTCCGCGCTCATCAATGTCAAGGCAGCCGAGTTATCCGCAGTTGAGATTTTGGCCTGAAGGGTCTTCCTGTAAACTGCTGCAGCCAAATAGGCGCGTATCGCACACAAGAGCCGTTCCTGGAAATACCAATACAAAGCATTGGCAATCGGAATGCCCATGTAGACGATGAACGTAGCGCCTATCAACCCGTAACCTCTATTGGCGTATTGATTGGCTTTCGGATCCTCTAGGAAGCTCAGAAGAGCCTCCAAGAGAAATGGCTGACAGAACACAAGGCCAAGGAGCACAATCCTGGGAGCAATTGGCAGCAATAATGGAGCGACCAGGCGTTTCCCGAGCGCTCTGGCAAGACCATGGCTCTGCCCCTGAAAACGCTGAGGCTCTAGTCTTCGGGTAGTGTCCTGGAGAGTCTTAACTGACAAACTCTTATCGAGAGGAAAGAGATCCGGTACAGTCAAGACTCTCTTATAACCACACATGAAAAGTGGATTGAGCCATGAGAAGGTCGCTAATCCAAATACGCCGCTTGTTTCCTCTGGGCTGTGATCTTTGCGGTCCCAGGGAATCCACGGCAGCTTTTGCCAAGACTCCAACACAACCAAAACAATCTTCCAGGCGGCGGCAGCAGTGAAAACTCGCGCTATGGTGATTTCGCGGAAGGTGACGGCGGATAGCCATAGTGATCGTACTTGCGCAGCATCCAAGAGGATAGTTGAGATCAAGAATGTGTTGAGCAAAATGGAAGGCCGCGGTGAGCGAGAATGCTCAAAGAAGCTCAGTACCGGCATGCATAGTGCTGCGATAAGGCTCAGGGCAGAAGCAACAGTTGAAAGCGGCGTTGCCCGGGCGGTAACTGTACTGTTGAGAATGAGATTTACCAGTTGTAAGACTGCGTAGATGGTAGTTGCAGCCTATTTTGATGAGTTAACATGAGTGTTTGAAACACATTTCGCGATGCACATACGAGCTTGATGCACTGAAAGCTTATACCGCCCACTATCTTTGGTCTGCGAACCAAAATTATGATCCTTGAAGTCGACAGGGCGATGAACAAGGTAGCGGGTAAGATTGCCAGGAAGATTCTCTCGAACTTGAGCGTGAAGTCGAAGTCATTACGGCAGCCTTGGACACTCGGCCCAATGGAGTCGTCGTTTGGACAATAGATGAAGTTCATCCTGATAGCGTCAAGGCATATATGGTGAGTCTCGTTCGGCACTTGAGTTGTCCTCCTTATTCCCCTATTAGTGAACCGAGCAGCGATGTTTAGGCCAGCAAAACTGTTTGGGTGGGCGCAGTACCAAAGTCGTCACTGCAGCTGAATGATGGCGTTGCACCATAACTTCATGCCTACGTTCTCTAAGAGTTGAAACCCACTGACGCCCCCTATCTTGCAGACGCTCAGCACGGTTCATATGATAACCAAAGCTGTTCAACTCCTTTCCGGAAAAACTGGTCCGACATCGACATGCCGACTCATAACCTCATTTCGGCCCTCTCAGCAGCTGGAACTTAATGTGTTCTCCTGCCATCTTGAGTTAACCATAAAGTTATGTCGGCATCATGTGCCATGCTCAAAATTTCTCAGCTTAACCGTCGCAAAGTTCAATCAAGTTCATGGTCCTGGCTTTACCTTTATTGCGTGTGGTTCTTTGGAGTCTATAGTTCAGACTAAGTAAAGCTAGAAAAGGCATATCTCATCCCCTCCGTTGGGACCAAAGGCTACTGGGGTATGCTTACTTGTGTGAGGGACATAAAGTCCAATCATATAAGGGCCGATCTGAAGTGGAAACGTGGAAACGTGGGATGACTGATGACCTTATACGTCAGGGCAGTTGGTCAGAGTCTAAGAAATTTCCTAACATCCCTAACATCTCCACCGCCACATCGCTTACACTTCGGTTGGTTCAGGCCTTTTCGAACTTACTGATCCAGGTGCCCCCACACACCATCCATTAGATGAAGAACTCACGAACCATCTCTCGGTACATGACCTACGTGTAACTCCTCTGTCCTACCTGTAAGTAGTGTCATGGTACAGGAGCAGAAACGGGCGGAGCAGCCGGCGGGCGGTTCCGGCGGGCGGGATAGTCTCTCGGCCGCAACAGAAACGAAGTACAATCAAGTCACATATCCGTCAGCATCTCACAGATTAACTTTGGAAGGAGCGCCCCGTTTGCTAACTACATCATACGATGGACATCATTACACAAAAACAAGCCTTTGGCTGAGCTGACAGGTAGGATCCCCGCAGAGATATTGATATCAAGTCAAAAGAAGCGGAGTAACTGCGGGAGAGTCGATCAGTTGTCAAAATATCCCTGATTGACCTCTTTCGCCACGTGCCACGTGCAGAGGTTCCTCTCGGAGGGACTTACCATAGGGCTGTTCACAGCATACATTCCCTAGTGGCCTTGCTGCAAGAGCTCCTGGTGCAGTACCTTGACTGTGACTAGGTAAGCAAAGCCAACGAGCATACTCTACACAAATTTGACATCACACTTGACAGCTCTTCCCAACCAAGACAAGCAACATAGGCAAAACTAAGATAACCATCAAGAGGGTAGGAATAGTATACTACATATCGTGGCTCACTGACTTCAACGAGAATGCAACACCATTCCTTTTCACCCAATCTAGTAACTTGGGAAACTTCCTGCATTTGTGAGATGCTTGGAAATCCTCTCTGATAGGCGCCTCTGACGCCTCAGAATCTTTCTTCTTATAAACCAAATATGGGGTAACGTCGCCGGTGCACATAAGTGCCTGACGCAGCGTATCAATACAGTGACTTGTGTGATCCCGGGCAATTTCTGGCGAATTAGACTTGAGGAGGCTGGGAGTTATATCTTGAGGGTATGAGTCTTTCCATATGTATTGCCGTAGCATGTTGAGGCAGTGGAGGTGATGAAAGACCTCAACTACACCGATGTAACCTAAGGAAGGAGAGTCGTGAATTGCGGACACAAAACCTTGGTCGACGCTTCTGTTGAGATAGGAAACACGATCAGGTGGAATGATGACACCAGGGACTATACAAAATAAACTGTCAGCAATGTATCTACTTCACTGCTCTCGTGAGATATCTCTTCATACCTTGGGAAAGACGTTCCCACTTAGCCTCCATCTCTGCAGTGGGAAGGCCGGTGAAGCCTGAGTTATCTACACCGAGGCCACTTTCAAAGTCATGTTGCTCATACTCGACAGCTTCCAATAGAGGAGCTAGTTATTTCATCAGTAAGTGCCCATGTTTACAATGCAGTGGAAGATTTGGAAGAAAAAGAGAAAAGAGAGGAGCTCATTACACTTACACCAAACACTAAGCTGCGCAGCACAGTACTTGTCCGATGGGGCATATCTTAGAGCTGTCACCATCATCAAAGCACCGGTAATAAACATGATATAACATGTGAAGCGCCATACAAAGTCGACCGGGTTCGAACCAAAACTTGACATCCAACGACTCAATGAAATCGATGACTTCTCAGCTTCAAGCGGCAATGCCACCTCGCTGTCGGCGTTCAACCGAGAATAGCCCGTCATCCATTTCATGTTTCAAAGACCGACGAATTGGGTTTGTCGTTAAGGCGGCGATGTGAGAAAATCGACAGCTCGAGTACTCCTCTGTTGATGCTACACTATTCTAGAGATAGAGATGATGGCCGGATTCGAGGAGATTGACAAGGGGAGATCCAATTTTCGTAATCAACAAAAGATCCTCATTTATCTTCGGCTTGTGGGGGCACACGGCATTATGATAGACTCAACGCTAACGAATGCTGAAAGGGAAAAGAGCAGTCAAGGACTGCCTCTCTTAGCCATCAATGCATATGCGACTGGAGTCATTGCGGTTCCATTGCGGTATTCTTACGGTTGCCCATTGATAGTAGTAGGAGTACAAGTACAGTCTGCAGCCTGCTATGCGGGTTAGTTTGACTTTTTTCGGCCGCTAGAGTTTGTTTGGTTTATTGCGAAAGGAATTGGACATGGAGTCTAGTGGAAGCTTGTTGGTTGTCTCGCCCACGAATTTGCGCTTGGAGAAGTCCCTCCCGGATAAAAAGCAACTTGTGAGATATTTGCCTGATCCCAGTTGAACCTTCTTAAGTGGTGTTGATGTTCAGAGGTTTTGCTTGCCAGCAGGAACATGTGGGGTTTCTGTACTGTTTTCCTCAACTGGTGGAGGGTACAGGTCAAAGTGCTCATATGGTATTTCCAGAATTGGGCCCGTAAATAGGGTAAATTTGCCGTAGTAATTTTGCCGGGTGGGGGGGCTGCGTCGTAACCACAAACTCAACTGATCATCATATCAGCGATTCAAGTTCCCGGCAGGTTGGGTGAACTTAATGCTTCGCGGAGAGGAACTTTATTTCTCCCTCGATAATAGCTGAGAGCTAAGCAAGGCCAAACTCTCTCAAGGCGAAGTGGTGAGGCGGAAGACGATAGCTTCCTCCGTGAACTGTTGGATATGCGCGAGTTGGTCAGGTTCCATCAAGGCCAAACCCCAGTTTCACCTCCATTGGTTATTCGCATATATGCAAGCGAGGTTCGGCGAATTGGAGATTCGCACTCCCCTTCGGCACTTTTTGTCGAAACTTTCTGGCCCAAGAGTTTGTCCCTGGTGACACTTTGGATCGAACTGCCCATGACCTGCATGCTAGCATGTAGAGGGCGAGCTAAAAGACGAGTACGACGCCGTTCAGAGTATCTTGAAGTGGCCTAATGCCGTCTAGGCGGTTGTCGAGTCCGCGATGCCGGCAGGGCAAGTCTAACTTCCGGTCCATTTGGAATAGCCTCCCGGCGGGCGCTGGATCAGGAGTCGGAGTCTAGGTCAAGAGTCGGCTTGGGACCGATGGAGTTTGGAACCGAGTACGGCCTGACAAGAACGCAAAGCTTGTGCTTATGGGAAAGCATGTTCTCACGCCGTCTCATAACCTGTTCAAGTTGTTAACAAACTTCAGATGCATAACGAGAACTCGTTTATTGCATACGGCGCACATGAAGCTAGACCGAGTTTCTCGTATTCTAGGGGAAAGAGGAACACCTGTTTTCAAACCGGGCTATTTGCGGCCGAGAGACCCGCCGGCGCAGGGCCTGATCATCCTCGAACGGTGGTTGGTTATGCCGGTCGGGTTCACCAACCCGCCTCAAATGGCAGCGTCCTTTCTGGGAGGAGCGGGATATCTTACGGGAATTTGGGAGACGGTGTGCATGCGAGGTTTGCTCTGGAGGTTGTCGTCCTGCAAGCGCGATTGGCCCTCAAATCTCACGATGTCAATCCAACGAACATTCCCCGAGCTTGACTCAAGGTTTTACAAATATCACAGTCATGCAAGCAACCGCGACAAGGACACTCAGGCCATGGGATGGGTTCAAGAGCTCTTCTGGTCCATGGGCCGGTGCAGGCAGTCAGGCGTCACGTACGCGGAGGGATCATGGGGATACACTGGTATATCAAATCTGTGGCGTAGTCCTTTAGTTTTGCTCACCATTCACCGTAGTTCTTCGTGTCGTCTACACCCAAGAGTCTGACGAACTCTGGCCTATCGCCTTGCAGAAGCTCAACCGTTGGATTACACGGTACTTCATCCATGGAAACCGACTCATCAAGAACAAGCCTAATGGCGAAATTAATGAGGAGCTTGCGCGCCGGTTCGTCCTTAAAGCTGTTAAGAACAAAGCTCTCGAGAGCTTGAAATTACCAAATCTATCTGGGGATACTTCTCAATAAGACATTCAATCACTTACACAAATTTTCAAAGACTAGCTAGGCTTCAAACTATCTATAGATACCTATATAGGTATATACCTATATAGTCTATAGGTTA